AAGTGAATTGCTGGTTTGGCGGCTTCTCTCATTCACATGACTGAGCAGCCTGGACACATTCATGTTTTTGACCCGTGGTCTGTGGACAAACTCCTGAGGCCCAGCTTTTGTGAGTTGACTCCAGTGCCCAGAAGCACATCTATGTGAACCCAGAGCAGGTGACAAATAGGGAGCCACACCCCTCTGTCCCTCCCAGACCCAGGCTGCTCCTGTCCTCTCTCGGATTCCCCCAGCCACTCTCCCCATGCTGGACTTTTCCACGCTGCACCCAGGATAGTACTGTTCCCTGCATCCCAGCCCCAATCTCCACCTGCATACACGTCACCATCTCTCGAGGCGGGGCAGCTAGAGGGACCCTTCCCATCTTCCTGCCCCCACACACTCTATTGGTACCATCTCAGGGTGTGTGGTACCAGCTATGTGAATTCACTTTGTATTCTGTGAGCTGCTTGGGGGCTGAGTCCAGGCCTGATGTATCCCCTTCCCCCAGTGCTGGGCCCATCTGGGGATTAGAGCAGTATTTATTGAATTTCTAGGTATTGAGGACCCTCATGTTGAGGAAGCCTTTTAAGTTGAGGAACTAGGCTGTGCAGATTCAAGCCAGCCCCAGTGGGCCTGGATGCCCAGCCCCTCCTGATTGCAGGAAAGCAGGAACTCACTGGTGCCCCTCCCCAGATTCCCCAGCTCCTGGGTTGGGGTCACTGAGAGGACATCAACTAACATTCATATAAACAGGCGCGAGTAGGGCCTGTGACCATCTGAGCACCTCTGGCAGACAGCAGCCTTCACGTCTAGCCTGCTAAAGGGACATCAGCATCTTTTCTTAGTAAGAAGGGTTTTTTGTTGTTTTTTTTAGAGAGAGGGTCTCACTCTGTCACCCAGGCTAGAATGCAGTGACCCCATTCAGGAGTCACTGCATGTTGAAGTTGCAGCCTTCAACTCCTGGACTCAAGGGATCTTGTTGCCTCCGCCTCCCAAATAGCTGGGATTACAGGTGTGTGACACCTGGCAATTTTTAAAAACTTTTTGTATAGAGATGGAGTCTCACTGTGTTGTCCAGGCTGGTCTCCAACTACTGGCCTCAAGCAAGCCTCCTGCCTCGGCTTCTCAAAGTGCTGGGATTACAGGTGTAAGCCACCACACCCAGCCAAGAAGTTTCATGAAAGAAAGCTATTGTAAACTTTTGCCTACAAGTGTCTCCCACAAAATGCATACCTGAGAAGCTGTGCCTCAGGGAAACCAACCCCAGTGTTGGAAAATATCATCTCTTCCAGAAAGCCTTTCTGGACCCCCAGGCTTGGTCAGGAGTCCCTCTGAGCTTCCAAAGCCCCTCACCCTGTTGACATGTCTCCTCTTTTGATTGTAGCCTCCCAAGGGCATTTTGTGCAACTTTTGTCCTTTACCCTGGAGGTGACCAATGCAATTGGCTGAATGGGTTGTTGAACCAGAGCATGGTTGTCCCCTAAACTATTTGTGTTTTGAAAAATCAGGACTTGGGCCGGGCGCAGTGGCTCACACCTGTAATCCCAGCACTTTGAGAGGCCAAGGCAGGTGGATCACGAGGTCAGGAGTTCAAGACCAGCCTGGCCAACATGGTGAAATGCTGTCTCTACTAAAAATACAAAAATTAGCTGGGCAGTCACCTGTAATCCCAGCTACTCAGGAGGCTGAGGCAGGGGAATCGTTTGAACCTGGGAGGCGGAGGTTGCAGTGAGCTAAGATTGCACTATTGCACTCCAGCCTGGACGACAGGGCAAGACTCCATCTCAGAAAAAAAAAAAAAAAAAAAAGAAAGAGAAAAGAAAAATCAGGACTTGGGAAGTCCTCATCTCCAGGTCCGCCTGTCCCTGGAATGTTCTATGCAGGGCAGGTGTTATGGTAGAAATAGCATCTTGCTGGCCGGGCATGGTGGCTCACATCTGTAATCCCAGCACTTTGGGAAGCCAAGGCTGGTGGATCATCTGAGGTCAGGAGTTCAAGACCAGCCTGACCAACATGGTGAAACCCTGTTTCTACTAAAAATACAAAAATTAGCTGGGTGTGGTGGCGGGGACCTGTAATCCCAGCTACTCAGGAGGCTGAGGCTGGAGAATCGCTTGAACTCTGAGAGGCAGAGGTTGCAGTGAGCTGAGATTATGGCACTGCACTCTAGCCTGGGCAACAGAGCAAGACTCCGTATCAACAACAACAACAAAAAAAAAAAAAAAAAAGAAAAAAAAAAAAGAAAAAAAAAGAAAAGAGACAGCGTCTTGTTGATAACAAACAGTCACTGGATTCTCCAGGCCCAGTTCTAGGGAGGCTGGGGTCTTGGTGTGAGATGCCCGTGCTGGTGCAGGAGACAGAAGCGTTTTGATGGCAGCTTTTCCTATCAAATGATGAAGGAGGGAGACATCGCTGTTGAGAGAGGGGGAGGCAGGCAGCCCCAGCCTTCAGGGGCCTGCACTGGGGCTCTCGGAGAGCTTTAGTTAAAGGTGATGATGGAGTTCCAGGATAGTCTGGTTGAGCCTTAGCAACAAAATGAGACCGTCTTAGTAACAGCAAGCAAGGGAAAAGCCAGGGACCTCCATGTGCCGTTAAGGGAGCCTTCTAGCTAGTGGGATGGACGGCGTCAACAAAATGAATTTCCAAGCAGTTACTGGAAAAATAAAACTGTTTCATGTTTATACCTCAAGGGTTTGAGGCTTCTGGATCAAACCCATTATATTTAAATAATTACACCTACAAATATGTGTTTGTATATGCACAGATCTTCCTAGGAGGCTACAGAAGAATTGTAGCAATTGCCTCTCTGGGAGTGGGGTGGGGACTAGGGACGGGGCGGAGAGGGAAACAAAGTGGAGACAGAGGAAGGAAGGAGGGAAATCTACTTTTCACTGATTCTGTTGTCCCTCTTGATTTCTTTTTTTAAAATGGTAGGCTGTATCATTTTCAATTAAAATGGACAAAGGTTTTGCAACTTTGCTGGGCAGTACTAGATGAGGTTTTCCTGTCTGACCTCAAGCTGTCAGCTGGAGTTGGAGTGGATTTCCTCTTCTTAGGGTCCCTAGTGGAGAAGGGGGCACACCTTCACGAGTGACAGGCCTGCAGTGTGCTGGCTGTGACAGGCTGGCAGGTTGGGAGGGTTCTTGTGCCACTGGCTCTGGCCCCTCACTGGGCACCCACACAGCCCCAGGCTGCAACCAGCCCCTTTGCTGCCTTCTCCTGGTTGTCCCTCAACCATTCCCTGGGCTTGGCACAGAAAGGAGGTTTCAAGGGGTGTGGCTGTCACACTCCTGCCTGGAGCCAGGACCCTGACCCCTGCCCCGCCAATTACAGAATTACACCAGCCAGAGGGCTCTCACAGGGTAGCAGGTTTATACCCCACATTTCACAGATGCGGAAACTGAGGCTCAGGGAAGGATAGTGACTCCACAGCATCAGGGCTGGGACCCAGGTTCCCAACCTTCAGGACCAGAACTCTTTGCACCCCACCTGCTGCCCAACCTGATTTTAGGTGAGCTTCTAAGGGACAGTGGCAGGTAGAGAATGAAGGAATTTAAATGGGTCCCCTTGACTCCTGGGGGACCCCAGACTGTCTGCCTGCTTGTGGGGGCTACTTGCATGAAATAGCTGCCTCACGCCTGGCTCTGCCCAGTCCTTAGCTGGGCTGCTGCCCGCCCCCTGTATCCCTCCCTTCACCCCCCATCCTCATGAAGCTGTCCCTTTCCTCTTCTTCTCCCTTATAAATCCTTACCCCCAAATCATCTCTGCTAGGAAGGGCATGCTGAATGTGACCGTTCCAGGTCCTCTGGGTCCCCAGGGAAAGATGATGATCTGAGCCTGGGGGTCCGCATGCAGGTGGGTGCCACTGTGCCCTGCCTGCCCCACCTCCTCTGCCAGAGGACAGACGTGGGTTTTCTCGTCTTGGTAACTTTCAGTCTCAGACCGAGCCCACAGGTGTTCCCCATTCCCAGGGGGACAGCTAGGTGATACAGCCACATAGAACCCAGAGCCACAGGTCCCAGAAAGTCAGGGCTGGCAGGGCCTATAGGCACCACATACTCAGGTTGTGAAAACAAGTTCCAAGGTCAAATATATCTGGGATCTCCATTAATATGAGGAGACCCGCTTCTTCTTGCAGGGCCTTTCAGAGCCTTTAACATGCTGATGGGCAACATGACTGTCCAAGATGGGGCCAGAGGGTGCTGTCACCCCAGATTTAAAGAACCTACTCATGGAGCAGGCAATCCATGCTGGGAAATGCTCAGGCCAGACTCAACTCACAAAAGGAAAGACTTGAGGTCCACAGGCCGGAGGGGACCAGCTTGAAATGGGGCCGCTTCTAGTCTTCTTACAACACTTCTGTGCACATTAGAACAACCTCTCCTCGATAGCAAGGTACTCCTTTTATTAGCACAAAACCCCTTTACTGCCGTCTGCTGGAAACATCTCAGCAAATACACAAATCTACAACATACATGGGAATGGAGCCACCCTCCCCTTTAGATATGGTACTCTTGCCCAGTGCGTTACCTGCCCAACCATGCCTGGCAGCCTGGGGTGGAGTCATATGATCCCAACCTGCCCATCACTTCCTTTCAGCCTGCACAGGAGTCATATATCCTAGGTGAGGTTTCTGAACTGACCCCGCAGCCTCAGCACCCTTGGGGATACTCCCTTCTGAACTCCTCAGAGACGGTCAGGAATGCTGGGGCTTCATCTCTGTGTCATCCCTCTCACCCATTACCTAGCCCCTGGCAGACTCACACGACGAACTCCTGAACAGATCTGGACGCACAGGGACCGGGATCCAGATGCACCACGGGCTCCTCCTTGCTGTGTGACTCTAGGGAAGTCCTCACACCTCTCTGAGTCAGTTTTCCCTTCTATAAAATGAGGCAGTTGGGCTTGCTCATCTCCTGGGGGTCAGATAGCTCTGAACTGACAATGACACCTCCACCTTCCATGGAATTTTGAGAAGAGCAACACAGTCATTCCCAATTACCAACAGGAAGACAGCCAAATGCAACCCAGATTTTATTAGACTAGGAAATATAATTTATTTCATAAAAATTAATTTTGTTACAATAGGAATGCTAAAGGTTATTTATAGGTTGTAGTTTACAGAATAAACAGAGGTGGGGTTGGGGGCCATCCCTGGGGCCCTGCACCCGCCCCTCCCGGGCATATAACCATGTCCACGGACCTGGCAGGGGTCCAGCCCTTTGCCCCACCAAGAGCTCCCTGCACCGAAGCTGCTGGTCACCTCCCCTAAGAGACCCGGCTCAGCTGCCTGGGAGCTGGGGAATAGGGACCAGAGTGCCCTGGAGGGTCCAGGAGATGAGGAGGGTCCCCTGCACCTTCAGGAGAACCCCTACCCCTGAGCTCTGGAGCCGGGGGCACTGTGAGAGAAGGCAGAGGGAGAGGCACGTAGAAGATACACTGACTGACCCTGTGGGCTCAGGGAGGGCAGAAGACAGGCACACCAACCTCCAGACGTCCAAACCTGGGACGCAGAGGAGCACACACACACGCTTGCTCAGGTGGGGACACGTGCACGTGTTCTCGGAGGGGCACCCTGATGTGCTCACAGAGAACAGCACAGGCACACGCACGCGCACGCACACGTACGCACACGCGCACCCCAGAGAGGAGAGAGAGAGAAACACCTGCGTAAGGGCCCTGCAACCCCCAATGGTACCTGAGCTGCTGCCCACCAGGTACACGCCCTCTGGGGCTACCTCTTGGGTCTGAATTGGAGGAGAAACCACCGATCCCACCCCGGAGGCAGACAGCCTCCACAGACGGATGGAGTCGGCAAATTCTTTCTGGGCATTTCTCGTAGAGCTGGACAGTTTGAACCCTCCCGGGAGGCTCCAGTCAATGGGTCTGTGCTCTAGGACATGGTGCACATTTCCAGAAGTCAGACTGGAAACGGCACCTGGGTGGCTGGCTGCACCTCATCCGTCAAGCTCCTGTCTTGGGGGCAGAGCAAGCAGCTTCTGAGGGTGGGGCGGGGAGGCCAGAAAAGAACAGGGAGGAGGGGCATGGCAGATCACAGGGTCCCCTACGGAAGCCTACAACGGTGTGTCTGAACCCAAAGAGCCTCAGACTGCAGCATTCTAGGTATGAAAAGGACACTGAAGCCCAGAGAAGGCAGTGATATGCCGGAAGTCGCACAGCAGTTTAATGGCAGATTTGCAACTCGATTCCTGGTCTTTGGACGGCCAGGCTACATGTGGACATGTCAGAGCCTGCAAGGGGAATGGCACCCCCTGTCACAGCACGTGTGGTCTAGCCTGGTCAGACTGCCCTCAAAGCCACGTGACCGAGGCCCACACGTGTGCATGGGCTACAGTGACCAGTGAGGCTGAGCCCATGGGATGGGCACTTCGGCAGGGAAAGTGCCCGTCATCTGGCACTTTCCTTCATCCGAGGCAGCATCCTGGTGCCTGGAGGCACCAGGGTTGAGAGCCTTAGTCTCAGCCTCCAGACCCAGTCAGGGTCCAGCCCCTGATGCAGACCTGGCCCTCAGCAGCCCTGGTAGAAGGAATCCTCTCTCAAATCTCCAGGCAAGTCCTCCTCTGCCCACAGCCAGGCCACACCCCAGGGGGCTGGTGGGTGGTAAGAAGCCCCGCGAGCTGCCGAGTCCATGGCAGAGAAGCCAAGCTGCGGACGCTGGCTGGAACTGCAGCCCTAAAACCTGCCCTCCTCTCAGGATATCAGACTTTCAAAGGCCAGGATGTGCTGAGACGGGTCCCAGTGGCTGCTCAGAGGCCTGCTGGGGCACGCCCTAGGGTCACTGCCCGGAAGTGTTGGGGAAGCTGGCACTTGCCCTGCCTGGAGTGCCAAGAGGGAGAGGCCTTTGATGAGGCCTCTGTGCTGGCTGCAAGATCCTTGTCCCAGCCACTGCCAGGCAGTTGCACAGGGCAGAGACTCATCCTGCACCATGCAGGGCCCCTGGAACAGGTTGGGTGGGGGAAGTGTGTGCCGTCCCCTCTACCCTGGCAACCCCACCCACTGGGAAAGGTTATTTCAGATCTCCCAGACCGTGGTGGGGTGGGTAAGAGGAGGGTTATAGGAGGTGCCTGTGGAGATCAGAGCTGGGAAACCAGCTTCTCAGCCTCCTCCTCCACTCCTGGGCATGCAAAGCACAGCCAGGGCACCCGCCTCCCAGCCTCCCACACTGCAGGGTTGACTGACACTGGGAAGCTCCGGCTTCTGGAGCTAGAAAGGACCTCTCAGCCATCACTCTGCTTTACAGAAGGAGAAACCAAGGCTCGGGAAGGGCAGATTCTGGATTCCTGGCCATCAAGAGAGCGTCACCCTGCTCCAGAGGCTGCTGGGCTGAGGATGGGATGAGGGTGTCAGGGCTGGCCCCACCTTAGGGTAAAGCTATCCAGCCCCCAGGAGAGAGATGTCTGTAGAAGACTTTCCTCCCCCACTTCGTCTCTCTGTTTGAGTCCCACTTCTGAGCCACATCCCTTTCTAGGAGCCACCAGACCAAAACCAGACTGGAACATTCTCCCTGGCTCACAGCCGGCCTCCTCTTTCATCCCAACTTTCTTAATCCAGATTCCCAGGAGCCCAGAGGTATCTCCCTGGGGCTGTGGGAGGGAGGGCCCACCCACTCCAGCCCTTAGCACTCCTTGGCTTTACGGATTCAGCATCTGCTTAAGATTTTAGAGGGAAATCTAGCCAGCTAAATCTAGACAGTGAAAACCCTGTCTGACTACTCTCTGCACAACTGGGGAAACTGAGGCCTTGTCAGAATTCAGTCCAAGATGGATTTGTTAGCAGCAAAGTACTCTCTGTTCAGTCTCTCTCTCCCCAATGCACACGCGTACATGTACACACACACACACACACACACACACACACACACACACAAACACACACACACACACACACACACACAAACACACACACACACACACACACACAAACACACACACACACACACACAAACACACACACACAAAGGCACATTCACTCCTGGCCAGAAGTGTGAGTGTGCCCATTCTCATCCACGCTCAAGAAAAGAGTTTTCTATTTTTTTGTGTTGTTTTTCATTTTCTTTTTTTTTTTTTTTCTTAAAAAGGACTTATCCAAATAATCTGGATAATAAATCATTAGCGTTTCCTAAGAAACTGGGTTTTTCTTTTCCCTTGTGGTTTTGGTGTTTTTCTTCTTCTTTGAGCCTTACTAGCGGTCTGAAGCTTTCTTTCTTTCCTTTACCTTTTTGCTTTTGGACAGGAGAAAGCAGTTTGTCTGAATCGTACTTGACTCTTCAAAGAGGAAAAGGGCGTGGAAGCAGAAGGGGGCTTAGGGAGAAAGGATAACTCAATAAGGGAGGAAGAAAACAAAGAACGGAACTAAAACCCATGGAACTCAGAAGTTGCCAGGCTGAGGGTAGGAGGGTGGAGGGACAGCCTCCTGCCTGCCCCAACCGCCTCCAGAGGCTTCAGCCCCATCTTGGTTCCCGCACGGAGATCTCAGGCCAACAGACAGAGAACGGGGATGGAGAAGGAACTCTGGGCCCTCTAACAACAGAGTACATGGATTTTCTAAGGCTGGTTGTGGTCTGGGGGTTGGGGAAGAGGAGGAGGAGAGGCAACTCTGGCTGCGAACTGGGAGGAAGCAGAGGCCAAACATCCTCATCAGGAGGCTCCCGCAGGCCTCCCTGCACCTGCCACCTGTCAGTCCCTGCCAGCCTGCCGTCCCAGGAGGCTCAGCAGTCCCCGTCAGTGGCCACAGCCACCAGCATCTCACTCTTGCCCATCTCTTCCAAGGCACTCGCCAGGCTGTTGAGGTCCCCATCGTCCTGCTGCAGAGCTTCCCAGAGGTCCAGGATCACACCCGTGGGGCTCGCTTTGGTGGCAAAGTAATTCAGGTACCTGGCAGAGAGAAGGAGGGCACTGAGGTCCCCAAGCACTTAGCTCCTTCCTGGAGCCTGGGGGTGAAGGGGCACAAGGGGAAGTGGGAAGGCTGTGAGCTTTGGTGTCCTACTGTCCTGGGTCTGAATTCCAGCTACTGTGTTGCGGTCTGTGTGGCTCTGGGCAAGTCAGAACCTAGAGCTCAGAATCTTAGTCTCCTTGTCTCTAAAATTAGAACAATGCCAGTTACCTCTCAACAAGATCCAAGATCATATAAAGTAAGGGTCTAGCATTGTCTCTAGCATGTAACTATCTTGTTCATCATCATCGTTATTATCATTGAAAGACACTGGCCCCAAGACAGAATGACCACGTGTAGCATGTGCTCATTCCTCCCACCTGTGTTACCTCCTGCTCCCATGAACTCCCCTGATAGGAGGAACAAAGCCTTAGCCATCTTTGTAAGTCCTACTCATTTCTAGTAAATGTCTTATCTAAAGCATCTGCTCAACGCAAGTTTATTACACATCTTTCAATACATATACTTATTATCATTGGCTTTATATTCATTTATCCAGCATTTGAAGTTCTCCAAAAGAGTTTTGACACCAAAGTATATCTCAGCCAGTCAGCAAGCATCTCCGGAGCACCTTCTCTGTCCTAGACACCAGGTGCTGACAATGACGGCACCAAGCTGATGCCCTGGCTTTGAGTCTCCTGCTGTTCTGTGAGATGGGCAGGTGGAGCGTTATCCCCTCACAATGGGAAAACAGCAGGGCCTGAGAGTCTGCCCGGCTCGAGGACCAGTGCTCTGAGCATGATGCTCCTTGAGGGAGCAGTACTCTTGAACTTTGCACATCCAATCCCAAGTTCCTGATTTGCCACAAATGGTGGCAAAAGGGTGGCTGGTCTGGGAGCTGGTCTTGGCTGTCAGGCTGCCTGCCCTGCCTGCCCCTGTGAGACCTTGAGGACGAAGGCAGATGGGGGTGGGCTGTGGTTTGGGATACTCACCGGTCCATAGAAAGCTTCTGCGCCAACATTCGCCAGTCATTGCCCCGTGAGTTGGGGGCATCTAGGCTGTTGCATATCTTCTGGCGGATGGACAGCGGGATCTTGAAGGCGTAAGGTCCCAGCTGGGTGGTGACGGCGCTGCCAGGGGCAGAGCAGAGTGTGTCCAGGGAGCCAGCAGGTGTCTGCAAGGGTGGGGACCAAGAGTGAGAGGGGCACAGCGCTGGGCACTGCTCTCCAGCCTCCCTCCCCTTGGACTGTGAGCTCATTGAGCCTTGAGTCACTCCCACCTCCTCTGGACAGGCTCCCACTGTTCAGGCAGGGGCTTCTCCCTTGAAGGGTCGGTTCCCAAGGGCAAGGCCTGCATGGACATCCTCCAGGCCTCAGGGGATGCACCATGCTTACCTAAGGCCCCAGGCAAATGCAGATGCAGCCTCATAGTTAGGAAGCCCCAAGGAGCCCCAGCCACAGTCTAATCCACATGCACCCATTTGTACAGGTGGAAAGTGAAGTCTAGAAAAGGGGAGTGGCCTGCTCATGGCCACATGCCAAGTTAGTGGCAGACCTGGGTCCAGACCTGTATCCAGTGCTCTTCACAATGCCCCACGAGGAGGATCTAGTGCTGTCACCCTGGGTGGCCTGGGATTTAATCTCAATCCAGGTTTATAACGGTTGAGAACCATAGGCCTGGTCCTTGCATCAACCTGGGTTCAAATCCAGTCTTGCCATTGGTGCATAGTGTGCAAATCCTTGCCCTTCCTAAAACCTACGTTCTCACCTCCCAGGTGGGGATCATATCTGTCATGCATCTCCTGGTGCTCGTGAAGATTTAGTGAGATCATGTAAGTTTTCTGGTATATGCCAAGCATGTGAATGACACTCAATCAATACATGATGCTTGTTAGCAAAACATGACCAAATGTCTGCTCAGACTTGGGAGGTGAGAGGGAACTACAGGGGTCTGCGTGCTGCAGCCCAGCCCCAAACCCTAGAGGTGTCCTCTGGCCCTCACCTCCATCAGCATGGTGTGCAGTTGGAATATCTGGCCCCCCTTCCCTCACCTCCGCCAGTGTGGTGTGCAGCTGGAATATCTGGCCCCCCTTCCCTCACCTCCGCCAGAGTGGTGTGCAGCTGGAATATCTGGCCCTCCCCTTCCACTTGCCGAACGCAGATCTTGCAGGTGAGCTCTGTGGAGGCCAAGCTGTGCCTCTCCAGGGTGAAAGTGCAGTGGAGGGCCTTCTGGCTGCCGCTCCAGATGTGATAGAAGGGGATCTCCTGCAGGAGGAGGGGGTCAGGACCAGGCAGGCAAGGCCAGCCTGCCCTGTCCTCATGGAAATGGAGACGCAGGGAGAGCTCAGGGAGCTTCGGTGGGCAGTTCAGGTCTCTCCACCCAGATGGGGAGAGGTCAAGTGCCCTAAGCTAGCCAGCTGAGTTGGTGTCAGACCCTCAGTTCCAGAAGGGAGCTGAGGCGGGGTACGTGAGGGAAGGAAAGGCACAGGTGTGTGTGTTGGGGGCTGGGGGGCCTCATGGTCTCAGGTGCTGCTGCGTGGGCAGCAGCAGGCTGTGGCTGTCACAGATGAGATGGACAGTCTGCCAGGAGGGCATGCCCTGAAGGGTGGGGAGCCTCTGTGAGGATGAAGGGCACAGGCGTCTGTGCGTGTAGGGATGTGACAGGGCAGAAGTGTACATGTGGACCCACTGCCCTGAATTTGGGGATGTGCTTGGGGATGGCTGGGAGCCTGGAGACTGGGCTGGGAGAAGACAGAGACAGTGAGAGACCCAGGGAGGCTGCAGGGCAGAGCCGGGAGGCAGAGCCCGGGAGGGAGCTGGTCTTCCCAGGCAGCCCTTAAGTGTTGCCCCTCCCCACCCATCAGCCCAGCCCTCACCTGGTATTTGGCCAGCAGCTTGCTCCTCCAATGGGCGTGGGGGAGGTCATGGAGGGAGAGGCGCAGGTTGTGGTAACTGTCTTTGAACATCAAGGGTTTCGGCTCCTCCACCAAGTAGCCACCCAGAGTCCGCTCCAGGTCCAGCACCTCCTGTGGGCCAGGGGGCATGGGGAAGGGGAACCCATCACACTTGGCCAATGGGCCTCTTCTGCTGCACTCTGCAGGGCAGGAGGCAGGGGCCCATCTGAGTGCGTGGCTGGGCATTTGCAAGAGCTCACAGAGGGCTTATGGTGTGAGAAGATGAATGGATGATAGATGGATGGACAGACAGCGGGAAAGATGACTAGATGAATGAATCCACAGATGATCGTATGGCTAGAGGGACTAATAAATGGACAGATGGATGGATAAACAGATCGATGGCTAGAAAGATAGACAGATGAATATACAGATGGATGTACAAGGATGGGTGTATGAATAGAAAGATGGAAGAAAAGATAAATGAATAGATAGAAGAGTAATGAATAGGTAAACAGATGGGCTGCTGACTGAATGGGTATATGGTCAGATGAACAGAAAGATGGATGGATGGATGAACAGATGGACAGATGGATGGATAATGGATGGAGGGTTGAATAAACAAAGAATGCCATCAGGCCAAAACCTGGTAACTTCCCTCTTGATTTCTATAGCACTCTCTGGCCAAAGCTGGCCATTAGCCAATGCCCCAGGACCAAGAGATCCAGCTGCAGGAGCACTTCCCAGGCACCTCCCACCCATCGCAGGACCACTGACATCTCAAGCCAGTGTCCTCCCAGCAAGGGACACTCCTTCTCCCATGGGCCTCTTTCACCTATGCTGTCTGCAGTGTGGGCTTTGGGACAAGTCCCATGAGTCTGGGAGATGAAGGAGCTGGATGGGGCCAGGGAGCAGAAATGGGAGGTGCATGGAGCCATGGGAAAGGACCATGAGGCACTGAGGAGGGCAGATGGGAGGTGGGAGGGGAACGGGCTCACACACAGCCAAGTATCTGTATGCTTCCAGGGTTACATCAGGATGAGCCTGAGCTCCTGAGAATGGGGGAATGCACAAGGGCTCTAAGGCTGGCAGGGAATAGTGGTGCTAACACAGGGCTCCATACCTGCCATCATCAGGCTCTCAGTACTATAAGACCCTCCCCTCTGCTTCCCTCCCTCCTGTCCCGACCACCCCTCATCTGCACGACCCTTCCTTCACTTGGGGCATGGCTCTCCATCCTTCTACACATGCTAGGAGCCTGGCTGTCAGCCTTAACTTCCCCTCCCACTGCCCATCCCATCAGTCTGTCCATTCCACTGAGCACACACAGCATCCAGCCCCGCCTCTCCTGGCTGCTGTCACTCCCTGTGGCCCAGGGTCCAGCCCCTCTCATCTACCCACCCCAAGTATAGCCACAGGGGCTTTCTAAAGAGCACCTGTGAACAGGTGTCTACCAGGTCCATTCCCCTTCCTGCCGCGTGGATTCCAAATTCCTTGGCACAGGCTCCTGGGAGGCTGAGCCCTGCCCATCTCTCCTGCCCTCACATTCACACATGCCCTATGCCTTTCAGCTGAAACTCATATGAAACGCAGTCATTTCTGTCAGTCTGGAATGCCCTTCCCTCCTCTCTGCTGAAACTCCTACATGTCAGCCTTCCCAGAGACCCTCCCCACCAGCCCAAGCCCCTCCTGGTCTCATGCTCCCTCGGTCCTGGGGCAGACCCCATCAGAGCCTTCAGGGATCCCTGGTCTGCCTCCCACCTCTAACCTGGATCTTGGTGAGACAGGCCCTGTGCCCAAGGCTGTTTCAGTGTGTGAGGGCCGCATGCGTGACCTAATAAGGCTGGTGGTGGGGAAGGGTTCCTGGGAGGGCCCAATGAGCCTGGGGAGGGGGATGCTGGCAGGGATCATGCAGCTGGCCGGCCAGGGCTGTGTGGGCACCTGCAGCTGGCCCTACCTTCAGTGCTACAGGTGTGTCCTCCAGGCAGTAGACCCGGAGGCTGTACTCCAGGGAGGTGCAGAGGGCGGGGGCGAAGACGGCCAGCTGGAGCCGCTTGACTGCTGAGCGGGAATAGGACTCGCCCGTGAACACATAGGTGCCCAGCTGGTCCAGCAGGATATGGCAGGCCCTGGGCTCCAGCTGGCAGTAGCAGGGTGTGTTCAGGGTCTCCTCATCCAGGGTCACCACCTCCTGTAGGGGACAGCAAGCGTGGGGTAGTGGTCACAGTTATTGAGGCTGGGCCAGAGGAAAAGGGCTTTCTTTTTGCCTCCCTGGGAAGGTTGGGAGAGCTGGGCCAACCTTCACCCTGGCTCCTCACCTCCCAGTGGCCCTGGTGGGCCTGGGTCTTGAGCTGAAAGATCCAGTCACCGACACTGACTTTGGCACAGTGGGGCACGGTGAGGATGACGGGGCGGCACAGCAGGAGGCCTGTGGGTCCGCAGGTCACCGAGGGGCTCAATACTGTCTGGGTCCCTTCTGAAAGCGGGCTGGGGGAGGACACAGGGTAGGAGGGAGGCAGTGAAGAGCTCGGCAAAGGTGCAGGCTCCTGCTGGGCTCCCAAGCCTGCCCAGGGCCCGGGAGGTGGAGGGCAGCTCTTTGCCACTCAGGACTCTGCATTCCCAGAGGTCATGGGGGCAAAGGAGGCAAAGAAAATGGCATGAATCTTGAGGTTGTTTCCAGATTTTTGCTGTTTCACTGCAACATTATCATAGCTCAGAATTCCTTGCTTACATTTTCCAAGGTTGTGTAATCTTGGAAGGTATTCAATAGGTTACGCTAAAGTGCCCTCCAGAGAGCTGGTTCCAATCTCTACTCCCGCCCACGTGCCACAGAAGGCCATGTTCCCACCCTCTTGCCAGCAAGAGGGTATTATCATTTGGAAAAAGGTCCTTGCAAATTCCTTAATAATAATAATAACAATAATAATAAAATCCCAATATACTTCATGTTTTTTTTCATTAGTTTTCTCTGACCGCAAATTAGACTGAACATTTTCTCATAACCTACTGGCCAGTGTGTTTGTGTGACAGTGTGTGTGTGAATCACTTGTTCATATCCTTTGCCCATTTTCACAGTGAGATGTTTACTTTTTCTTATTGATCTACAAAGTCTCTTTACATAGTAAGGATATTCAGCCCTTTGTCATACTTGTAGCCAGCTTGTCAATTGCCTTTGAGTTTTATGATTTATGGTATTGGTTCTGCAAGTTTTAAATATGGACCCAGTAAGATTAATGCTTTCCTTGGAAGACTGTTTGGTCTTAGCACCAGGTTTAGAAGGGGCGCCAGGTGTGGGCATGCAGCAAGGGATGGGAGGAAGAAAAAGGAGCAGGGGCTGGGGCTCTACTCACAGGGTGCTTTCTGCCTTGTTGATGAGTAGATACATCTCGTAGAACTTGCCCTGGGGAATGGCTCCATTGGGCACCAGTAGGCTGACCCCTAGGGAGAGAGGGAGGTCAGCAGGGAGTCCAGGAGCTCAGGAGAACAAGGGTTTGGGAAATCGGCCCCAGTTTGGGGCTGGGAGAGAAAGATATCTCCTGAGCTCCAGGTGGTCACCAGCCAGGGGTGGGAGGGGGTCTGGGGACTGGATGCAAGCAGAGGCCAGGCCACTGACCAGTGCTGGCTTGTCTAGGAAGACAGGGGTCTCTGACATTGCTATGGGGTCTGGAGGTCCAAGTGCCAGCCCTACTCCTAGCTTAGTGTACGGTGCTGGGAAGCTGTTAATTGCTGGCTTTGCAAACTAAGATGGGCGCCCCTGCCCCTCTGCTGCTAGTTCTAGGACAGTGCTTTGTAGGTCTGCTGAACTACATAGTACTATTCTCTCTCACACAACAGAGACACTGAAGGTGGCTGGCCCAAGGTTCCTCTGCCCTAGTGAGGGCAGGCCTGAAGCCTAGCTTTTCTAGTCAGACCTCTCTATTTTATACTCACTTCCTGCCACCAGGCCTCCCTTTCCCCATCTGTGATATGGGATTAGGGCAGCCCTGTCTTCTGCTGGATGGGTGTGGGGGCAGTCCGCAGAGGAGGTGCTGAGGCCAGGCCGACACACAAGCAGAGCAGGGGCTCACCTGTGCCAGGGATGCTGAGCCTCCCACCCAGGCAGCCAAAGGTGCCGCTGACGCTGCTCCCCGGGTCTCGGGGCAGGCCCAAGAGCTGCTGGGAACCAAGGCTGGCGCTGCGCAGGTGCAGGAGGTGGGTGTCCCGGGCGAAATCACTAGGGTATGTGCCCGGCGGCAGGACCCCCAGCAGGTCAGCCCCGTCTGCCAGGCCTGGCCCAGAGCCTGTGGTGCTGGAGCTGTAGACCTTGACCTTCAGGCTGGGTAAGGGGTCCAGCAGAGGAGAGTTGGTCATGGGGATCTTGTCGGTGGAGTCCTGCAGGGCATACACGGGTCCACGGTAGATGCCGGCACTGGCTGTCAGGTCAGGAGGCACAGAGGGGTGTAGGAGCTGCGGGTTGTCTGCAGGAGTGGGGGCTATAGTCAGACCCAGCTGTGCCCCATCTCACTGGCCCAGCTCCCACTGCAAAATCCCACCCAAATGTCCAGCTGTGAAAGGCTCAATTGCTGCCAGCTGCAGGAAGCTTTGGGAATCCCGCAGCCTGGGTCACTCCCTTCCTTCTCTGTAGTTCTCTAATCCATACCCATCCACATAGTTATCTCTATGGAAAAACCCCGGGAGGGAGTCAGGAGCCTGGCTCTGGTCTGGGTACCACCAGAGCCCTCTGGGTATCCTGCCTCTGCCAACCACCCCAGACATCCTCAGGTTCTTACTGGGCCTGGCCGTCTTGAAGTTGACAGGGTGGAAACCACCAGTCAGGGCGGCAGATGAGTCAGTGATGTCTGTGTCGAAGTCACGGCAGTTGCGGCGGTACACCACCACCCCCACCGCCATGAGGATTGCCACGACCACGAAGACAGCCACCACGAGGCCCGCGTACAGCGCCGCGTCCCCTGAGGCCTCCAGCACTGCAGGGACAGGAAGACCACATAAGGGGCAGCACAGACACCAGGCCCTGGGGGAGTCAGGGAGGCCCTGGGTCCCTGGAAAGGGCAGGGCCCAGGGCCAACCAGCACGGTGCTGAGTTCCAGTCTGAGCCCCACCTACACAAGCCGGCAACCTCAGGCTAGCCTTGAACCTCTCTATCAGTAAAATGGGCTCGAAGTCCCTGCCTTACTGCCCTTCTAGTTGTGGCATGAGAAGAAAAGAACAAACATGTTCACGCCATGTGTTAACTTGTTGCTCGCTGCTGAGGAGACAGGGTCTGTGGCTCGGGGCCATGCGGCAACATAATTTGCCCTGTGAGCGCTGGGGTTGAAACCTCTGAGTCTGCAGCAATTTCCATAGGACCAAAGGCCCTGGCTCTGTTAGCTTGGTACGTGGATAAGCTCTTCTGGCTCTGTTATCTTTGTAAGTAGCTGTTCTGAACTCTTCTTCCATTCCATGCTCTGAGGGTGGGAGGTAGAGGGATGGGGAGCTGAAGGAGTGGAATGAGATGCACAGCAATGTGGTGGAGAAGAGGTGGGCATGTGGGGAGAAGGATGGGCCCAGCGAGGTAACCCATGGCCACACTTTCCTCCCCCAGGCAAACATGGCCAGGCAGGAAGCCTCAAGGTCAAAGTGGCAGGGTCTGAAGTAGGGCTCTCTGGTGGGGCTTTCTACAGTGGTGGAATATCCTATGTCTGCAGTATCCGGTATGCAGCCACTAGTCACGTATGGCTCTTGAATAACTCAAATGTGGCCAGTACCACTGAGGAACTGCATTTTAAAAAATTATTTAATTTTAATTAAGCTAAATAAAAGTTTAAACGGCCAAACGTGGCTGGTGGCTTCCACACTGGACAGTTCAGGGAGAGCAAAATTGGCAGCCAAGATGGCTGCTCTTCCCCTTGCTTCCTTCGGGAGCTCCAGGAAGCACCTGTCCACGCACTCCCACCCTGGGGGGCCCTCAGAGAAGTAGGCCTGCTTCCTCTGCCTGGAGTCCTCCACACCCTGCACTTGGGGTCAGCCTGAGGCTTTCAGCAAGGCAGGGCATGGCTCCCAGCCCCGGATGTCTGCCCACTTCCAACTTCTGTCCCCCAGTATCTCTCCTCAGCAGCCCTCACTCTTGGGCTCCCCCTCAGGGCTGGGCTCCTGGCTCAGCAAAGAAATGGCTCCCCCAGCTTGGCTCTGCCTCCTGTTGCCCTCACTAACACTGGGGCCACTTGCCTGGTGATTTACACTCGAATCATCCCCAGCCCGAGCCCCAGTGAGCTCGGCCAAGGGCCTCACTGATTTTATGATTCCAGAACTATCTGGAAATTGTGGTTTAATTACCATGGGCCAATCTGCTCAAGTGGCTTTGCTGCTCTGGTATGACTGCAGTGGCGGTGCAGCCTCTGGGGCTGGAGAGCACGCCCCCCGGAGCTGACGCAGGGCAGCGGGCATCACAGACCATTTGGGAGGCTTGGCCCAGCTGCTGGGGCGGAGGTACAGCAAGGGGCGTGAGGGGGAACTGCAGTGGTGATGCCCCGGCCCTGGTCCAGAGAGGAGGGCCAAGGGCATATGGTTAAGAACACCAGCTTTGGCTATAAAAATATTTGGGTTCAAATCTTTACTCTGCTACTTCTTGCCTGTGTCTCTGGCCAAGTCCCTTCTTCTCTCTGAGACTCAGTTTCCCCTCCTATGAGAGGAAGCTCAGTAGGGTGTCCTAGGGCCTTTCTTTTCTGTCAGCCAAGGGTTTGCCTGTCTGCCGGTGATGGAGATGCAGACACATGCAGTGTCAGGTGTAGATGGTCCCATGGAGGGTGGGTAGGGCGGCACCTTCAGCTCTCCCTGCCCTGCACCCTGATCCCGGGAAAAGCCAGCCAAAGAGAACCAGGGATCCCCCAGAGGAAAGAGGACAGCCATGAAAGGGGACTTACGGTGGCTGTTGGGGTCGCTTAGAGTTTTCTTATCTGTCAAGGGAAATAAAGGGAAAGACAATGACATAGGTGACAGGGAAATAGTGGCAGAGAAGGCAATGGGAAGGATGAGATGAGATGATGGATGTGGTGGGGGGACAGAGGCCCTGAGGACTGCCATGCTGCAGGCTGGGCACTGAGGCATGGGGCCGGGTTTGGGGGACCCTTACATGGCTCCAGAGTCCCCACCCCCAGGGCCCCACCTTCCCTGTGACTCACTTTGCATACACAGGCCATCTGTGCAGTTCTTAGAGTCGAGCAGCGTCCCGCTGCAGTCACGGCCTCCGTTCTGGGGTGGGGGCGCCATGCACTCGCGGCTACGCCAGTGGGCACACTCAGTGCTGCAGGCTGACCACTTGCTCCACTCCGTCCACGCCCCATCAACTGTAAGAGCAGGGCATACAGGAGTATGTGCACGCACAGACATGTGCACGCAGGGACATGTGCACACATAATTACGTGTGCAGAACACAGCAATGCGCCAACACACATGCATGCGTACACACTGTGGAAGGAAATGAGGAACCCAGGACACATGTGTGCCACACAGAGAAATCCACATGATATCCACATAGCCCCATGCCAATGAACAGCCAGATGCACCTGGCAGGTGGACAAAGAGGGTACAGATAGATGCACAAGGTCATCAACACGATACAGCCCAGTGCACAATTTACACACAAAGACACAAACCCAGGGTAAAGAAAAACAGTGTAGGCACAAACATACAACCCAAGGGAGAGAACACAGCACATGTGTGGGGGTAGGGGAGCAGAGGGGCTGCACAGAGAGAGGAATAGGAGGATGGCTGTCAGTGTGAATAGGGTCTGTGGCCACGGTGTGTCTTAACAGTTAGGGGCAAGAGGCTGTCCCTGAGGCTGCCCCTCTGAAACCTTGGCCTGGGGCTGACACACTGACACTGAGAACCCTCAGCTTGGAGGACAGAAGGCCCAGGCTAGAGGGTCAGGGAGAAGGGGCCACCACTCAGACCCTCTGCCTCTATCTCACCAGCAGCCCAGGGCAGCATAAGTCAGAGATCAGAGCATCTTGTCAGCCTGGGCAGCCAGCTGTGGGCTTGGGACAAGCACCTTCTGCTCTCCATGCTAGGGACAGAACGGCTGTCCTGGCTCTGGCACACAATACAGAAGTGGGACAGGGTTCAGGGTGGGGCTGGGCATGGACAAGGCACCTTACCTGGGCAGATGGTGGTGCAGGCGGTCTTCTGGAAGGCCTGGCCCTCGCAGAAGGCCCCCCCGTTGAGTGGGGTGGGGTTGGTGCAGGTCCGGGTGCGCTTCTGCCAGCCTCGGCCACAGCGGTTGGAGCAGGGCGACCACTCTGCCCAGCTGGACCAGCCACCATTCACTGCAAGGCGGCAGCTGTCACCTGGTTGGCCTGGCTCTGGAACCCTCTGCCCTCCCCCAAACCCATCCCTCACCCTGACAAGGCCCCTCTGCCGAAGCCTGGCCTCTCTGGTGAGACCCCATCTGCCTACAGTGTGAGAGACTCAGAAGTGGCAGGCAGAGCTGGGCTGCAACCATCAGCACCAGAGGGGACTCGGGAAGTCACTGTCTATGCCCCACCTTGTTGTAAGATGGCAAGGAAGGTCCAGAAAGGGCTGCCAGTTGCCTAGGGTCATCCCAGGAGTAATGGGGGCCTGGGACTGTGCCTGGAGCTGGAACCTAGTACAGGGCTCTTTCTAGAACTCTGTAAAGTCACCTCAGCTGTGGCTCCACTCCTCCCACCCACAGGGCCCAAGGGAGAAGCAGAGAACAGCTCACAAGCCTGGGCATTGGTCCCTAACTCTACAAGGACAACAGGCCTCTGGGCGTACTGACTGGGTCCTGCCTCAGCCCCCAGACTTGGAGAGAGTTGGTTTTTCTCCTTCAGAGTTAGGCAAGGCATCCTGAGAACTGGGGAGTGCTCCTGGCTGGGAACCCAGGAATGCCCAACTTGGCCATGAATTTTGCTGTGTTGTGACCTTGGTCAATTCACTTCCCCTCTCTGGGCTGCATCCTCCCTACCAAGCCAGGGGTCCCACCTAGCCCCAGGCTCTCCTCCCTCCCTTGACCGTGTCTGCCCCTCCCACTCTGAGAGGCCCGCACCGTAGACGATGACGGTGGCAGTGGTGCTCCGGCGTTTGGCCACGATGTTCTTGGCCACGCAAGTATAGTTGGCAGTGTCTGACAACCGGGCCTGGCGGATGATGAGGTTGTGGTCAATGGTGAGCAGGAAGTTGGTGTCCTGGGTAGGGTCGATGACATCCTCATTCTTGAGCCATTCCACCTGCAAGAGTGGGAGTGAGGGGGCAGTGAGGGCCCAGGGCAGGTCTGACCATAAACAGAAGAAGGGCAGTTCTACCTGGGTCCACACCACGGTCATGGCAGTGAGGCAGGGCCTCGGTGGGACTGGACACTGTACAGCTCCAGGGTTAAGAGCGCCATTTGCCAGCTGGGTGGTCTTGGGAGGGGACTTACCACTCAGGGCCTCAATTTCATCGACTGCAAGATGGAACTGAATAGCACCTACCCCACAGGGATCCATCGTGAGGATTACACGAGTTAGAATGTGTAAGGTGCCGAGAACAGTACTCAGAGTAAGTTGAGTTAAGCTAACTAAATAAGCGCTAGCCAGGAGTATCTGTCTTTATCATTGACTCCTCCCGGCTCTACTAGCCAGGATAAAAAGCCTGGAAGGTCATAGGAAGAACGTCCCCGGGTCTGGCAGACCTGGGTACAAACCCCAGCTCTGCCACTCACCAGCTACCTCACCCTAGGTGGCCACTGGGCCCCTCCCAGCCCTGCTTCCCTGCTGTAGGATAGAATGGTAACATCAGTTTGCAGGGCTGCTGCAGAGACCAGCATGCCAAGTGCCTAGCATATATGGCTAGGGATGTTTGTCTGAGCCCACTGTGCAGAGGAGGGTTTGGGCTGGGAGAGGCTGAGCAATGAGTGCACGGTTTTGGGATCAGACAGGGCTGATCCCAGGCTGGAAGTCAGGCTCCTGACTACCCCAACCGTCCACTCCACTGGGCAAAGCTGAGATGCAGCTCTACTCCCTGGACCACCAGTGCAGGGAGTATGTCTGGAACAGAGGTAAGGATAGCGAGAGAGGACAGGCAATCCAAAGACTGTGTGGTTTCAGGAAGGGGTGACCAGCTCGTTCAGGAAGGGATGACCAGCTCGTGGGGGAGAACACACTCATACACATGCAGGATAGGACCCTTTGGCATCCAGAAAGCTGGGGCCTTGGGTTCCGGGTGGGGCAGAAGATCGAGACCGAGCTGGAGGTCCACCTAAGGAGCTCCTGAGTTCTAGGGATTTCTGCCCTAGCCACCCCATCTTGTGGGGTTATGCCTGTGGCAGACCCAGCTGGGATCTGGCATTGCTGTGTTCTGCAGAGGTGGCAGTTCTCTTCTCTTTGCCAAGCCTCGATCTCATCTGTGAAAGGGGTAGGGCTCTGGGAGACCAGCACCATGGCTGATGGTAAATACGGTGCCTGCCTGGCCTCCGCAGGCATGGCCACAGGGCTGTGCTCAGTGGTCTCTACATCCCCGCTTACCTCGGCCACGGGCACCCCCTCCGGCGGGCGGCACTGCAGGAGAACCTCATGGTCCAGGGGCACCTCCTTGCCCAGAGGCTCCTGATCGAAGTTCTTGCGCAGGTCTGGGAGAAGCGAGAGGGTCCCAAGGCAGTCAGGTGTGGGGAGAACTGGAACCTGATGTGCTACACTGTGGCCACTGGGTGGCAGTGCAGACCCAGGGAACTGTTCATGGGCCCACCTGTCCTTTGCCTGGGAAATTTCCTCTACTCCAAAGGAGGGGCTCACCAGGCAGACTTAGGGGAACAGGGTTCCCTCCATGACTCTGGGATCCTAAGCACATAGTGGCTCAGGATGGGGGAGGAAGCTGCCAGCTTCTTTTATACAGAAGTAGATGAAAAGAGGCCCAGGTTCTGGGTCTAGGAGCCCTCTCTGAGCTGGCATCCATGTGCTGGGATGTCTTTGCCACAGGCATCCTCAGCCAGGGATGCTGGAGGAGGCCCCACAGATGTGAAGTTCCCTCTCCAGCATCCTCGGGGATAGGGAAGGGTCCTGCAGGGACGGGGTGGGGGTCAGGGTGGCGTACAGGCGATGCGGACGTAGGCTCGGCGACTCTTGGTGGTGCCCGCAGAGCTCCAGGCCACGCACTGGCACCAGTAATCCTCCAGCCCAAAGAGCTCCTCCACCTGCTGCCGCGACACCTCAATCTGCACCTCGCGCACCCGCAGGCCTGGGAGGAGAAGAGAGTGCTGTCAGGGGCAGGGGCAAAGCAAGAATGTGAGGCACAGGACACCCAGGCCTTCCACCTCGGGTCCTGCTGGCTCTCTCACCCAAGTGCCCCTTTCCATCCATTCCTCCTGTCTCCACCCTGGCCCAAGTTTCATGGCCACTCACCTGCACATTGCAGTGGCTAACACAAGCCCTCTGCCCTTCCAATGCATCTTCTACCTGGCAGCTAGTGTCATCTCCAAAATGCACAAGTGGTGTGTCATTCCTCCCTGATATGAGACCCTTCATGCGGGCTCTCAGTGGCCTGTAGGGTCATCCCCAGGAGCGGCTCTGAGCTGCACTGTGCATTCACCGTCCCCACCCCACTGCAGCCTCACCCGGTGTCTTCCAGGCTCTCATGTTCCCTGGCTCTGTGGCTACAGAGCCACGGGGCCCTTGCACATCAGTCCCCTGCCTGGAACTCTTCTGTCTCCTCTGGGCCCAGTGGCCTCTCAGTCCCTGCCAGATTTCGGATCAGCCTCACTTCCCGAGGAAAGCCCCCTCCACCCTGCGCCTCCCCAACAGCTCTCCCAGCACTGCTCGGCACTCCCCCCACTGCACCCGAACTTTGTCTATGCAGCAATCACTCCCCTACCCAGCCTCGTCTCCTCCCAGCACCCACCATTAGCTGGACTCAGATTATTTATGAACGCATTCATGTGTTAAATGTCTGTCTCCTGCAGGAGAACAAGATGGGGCTTTGTCCTGCTCACTGCTGTGGCCCAGGGCTTGGCACAGAAAGGGGGCTCAGCACGTGCAGAGGTGAGACACCTGCTCTCCCTGATCACTACTCAGGCCACGTGGGCGTGGAGCTGAGGAGGTCCCTCTTCCAGGGAGCCCCTGATCTCTCAATGGCTCCCTGGTCAGGGCCTGGGAAACTTCCTACATAACAGGACCTACCAGCCTATACAAGGGGGTCAGTAGGATTTCAGTCAACCATCCCTCAACGAAGCCCTCCATGCTCAAGAAAGCAGGGAACCTGCCAGGAATGGGGACATTCATCTGAAGTTCCTCCCCAAAGGTTATAGAGGCTTCTTCCTCCTCCAGGAAGCCTCCCTGACTGCCTTGTGTCTCAGAATTGCTAAAGCTGCTCTTCCCTGCCACAATGTGTCCTATCTCATCCTCTCATTGCACCATGGATTGTTAAGGTACGCACAGCCGGTGGCATGGTGGGTAAGGACAGGGTTGGATGGCTGGAAAGGTTTGCGTCCTGGCCCCACCCTCAAACCCCAGCTGGGTGACCTTTGCGAAGTTACTCAGTCTCTCTGAGCCTCGGTTCCCTCATCATAGTAAACTCTCAAGGTAAACTCTAAACAAGTTATGGTGACTACTCCGCCACAGCGCCCAGCCCGGGCCAGACACAAATATACTCTGGCAGGTCATCTGGATCTCAACCAGCTTCTTCTGTTACCTTTGAAGAAACTGAGGCCCAGAGAGGGTAGGTGGCAGGCACCAAGTCCCCCAGCAAGCTGCTGCAGAGCGGTCAGCTCCCTGGCGTCTTTCCCAGGTTAGAGCTTCGTCCCCTCACCCACAACTCCTCTCTGGACCTCTCCTGATGAAGTCACTGCTGTAACTCTCCTATTGTTGAGGAGGATTGGGTCCTTGTGCAGGGAGTCCAGACAGGGGGGACAGCCCCGTCCTGATGGCCAAGGATCTAAATGGGAGGCGGCTAGGGGTTTGCCATCCAGGGAGGAGACTGCTTCAGGGGTGGGTGGCAGTGCCTACCTGCCATGGCTGCCCGGGGGCTGGCTCCACAGTCAATGCTGCATGGCCCAGGGAGCAGAGCCCTGCCCCTTGCTTACCAGACTGTGAACCTGGAAGACTGGGCCCTTTTAAGGGGGTCATCCATGCAAGGTTTCAGCAGCACCAATAGCTGGACAGAAGGAAACCACCACCAGGGAGGAGGCGCGACACCTCGTCCATGATCACCAGCAAGCAGAGATGCAGGGAGCATAGGACGGGGATCTCCGGTGTCCCAGGCTTGAGGCCTAGCACCAGACTGCCCTCCCAAGCATAGCAATGTCTGGACCAGGACACCCAGGGTTGGGCCGCCTGCCCCGATCTGGCACAAGTTGGTGGGGGGCTGTTCTGCCTCTCCTGGCCTCCAGTCATCCTCTTCTGTTTTCAGGCCTCAGAGAGTGCTAGGGAAAGCCAGGGCTAGAAAGTAGGAGGCTGAAGTGGAATCAGGCCCCACCACTGCCAAGGAAGCTCTGCCCATTATTTGCAGCTAATGGGGACAACAGTGCCCCAATTTCTAGGGCTGGCAGGGCCTGTGTGCCTGGTGGCAGGGAAGTAAGAGCCATGCTGTTATTATTAGTAATAATCACAGGGGTATTATTACTATACTAACGGCCCGTGAGGGGCCCCAGCAGGCACACTGTTCCCTTGCCTTGTCCAGACCTCGATGGCTGACCTCTGATACAGGCCAGAGGAGCTCAGTGGGCAGAGAGGTAAGGACCGTTTGAGAGAAAGAGGCCAAGGAAAGCCCAGAAAGAGGACAGAGGAAGCAGGTGTTTATTGACTGCCTGCTGGGCCCTGGCATGCTGCTCTGTGCTATGTGTGCCACCTGGCTCTACCCTCACCAGGACCTTCAGTCAACTTCCCAGTTTACAAAGAGAAGAACTGGGGCTCAGAGAGGTGGAGTGACTTCCCCAGGGTCACTCAGTCAAAGAGTGGGGGCAGCTGGCAAATATGTGTTGTTTAGTTTCCCCTTAAAAATTCCTTTTTCTGGCTGGGTGCAGTGACTCACACCTGTAATCCCAGCACTTTGGGAGGCCGAGGCAGGAGGATCATGAGGTCAGGAGATCGAGACTATCCTGGCTAACGTGGTGAAATCCCGTGTCTACTAAAAATACAAAAAATTAACCAGGTGTGGTGGTGGGCGCCTGTAGTCCCAGTTACTCGGGAGGCTGAGGCAGGAGAATTGCTTGAACCTGGGGGGTGGAGGTTGCAGTGAGCCGAGATCATGCCACTGTACTCAAGCCTAGGTGACAGAGCGAGACTCTGTCTCAAAAAAAAAAAAAATTTCCTTTTCCATTTTTATATTTTGGGTGAGCATGGGACTCCAACTCTATTGTTTAAAATTATGTTTAAATTGTGGTAAAATACACATTCTATAAAACTTAGCATTTTAACCATTTGTAAAATACGGTTCAGTGACCTTGAGTACATTCTGGAGTATGGTTTTAAGCCTGACTGGTTCTGAAATCTGTGAGCTTTACATGACAAAACAGAAACTAAAGAAGGGGGAAAGAAGGACAGTGACACAGCACGTCAGGGAGACAGTGAGACAGAGAGAGGGGGAGGGAGAGAAAAAGAAAGAAGGAAAGCAGGCACGTAAGGAAAAGAGAGAGGGAGAAATGAGCAGGGAGAGGCAGCGAAATCAAGAGAGCCGAAGAAAGAGAAAGCAAAGGATCCAGACAGAGACGGGAAAAACAAAAAGCCAGGAAGGCTGCCCGGGAGCCCCGAGTCTGGGGTGGGTGGGCTCTGTCTGGTGACTGAAGCGGGGTCCCACCTGCCTGTCTTAAGCCCTAGGGAGGGCTTTTCACCCTGAGGGCTCTGCACTATCAACAGGGACCTGGTGGCAGTGAGCAAGAGCCCCTCACTTAGACTCGAGGGCACCCTGGGGGCAGGCTCAGTTCTGGGAGATATGGGGAACCCCAGGGCTCTGCCTCCTCCCCTGGGAGTACTGAGGGTCCCCCACACATCCGAGAAGGAAGGGACCCCACACTTCCTCGCATTTCCCAGTTTTGGCTGCTCTCCTCTCTCCCTCCAGATTTGGGCTACATCCCAGCACCACTTGAACGGTTATTTACTTAATACTCTCAACTTTTTCTTTTTAACCTAAAACAATTTATTTCGACGCAGGAAATGCCGTATCATTATTGTGAATGGAAACCAGTATCACTTTCCACAAACAGAAGGAACTGTAAAAATAACGATTGCATTGAATTCTGGGTCGGTGCCGTGGGGTGCCAGGGCCTTGAGGCAGAAACCTGCCCTCTTTGTTAAACAGGGAGATTGGCAGGTGTTTGGGAGGGCTCAAAAGCCCCCACCTGACGGGAACTTGCTCCCTGACAGAAGCAGAAGGATGGAGAGAAAATGGAAAGGGAGTGAGGGCTCACGGGGCGCTCCGTGCTATTGAATGCAGTGGGGATGGTCCCAAAGTCAGGCTGGGACACGTGGCCAGCATTTGGGGAAATGCTAATCCAAGGTGAAGCCCGGGGAGGGTGGTGGGGAACTGAGGACCAGGGGGCACCATGGCTGTGTGAAGTCTCACATGGAGCCAGGCCTGTGCCTCTGGGCCTGGGGGGTCCTGGGGGTTCCAGGCACTGGGGTGGGCTTACCGGTGGCCTCATCCAGGCCTTCCTGTGTGACATGGTCGTTCTGGCTGACCCACTCGCCGTTGCACTTGAAGTAGATCTGCGTGGCGGGGAAGGCGCGGCAGCGGAGCTCCACAGGCTTGTTCTTCACAATGTAGGCGTCCTGTGGCTCCTGCAGGAAGTAGGGCAGCGGCTCTGCCGGCGCCGACGGGAAGGAGTCAGGGAGCGCCTCGCTGCCGGAATCAGTGCCTGCAGAGTGAGTGGAGACCTCCATGAGGCTGTGTGCTGGGAGAGCCCTGTGGCACCCCTCGCCCACCCCGGGGACCCACCGCAGATGCAGAGGGCAGGGGAGGCAGAGGTGGGGCAACCAGAGCCCTGCTGGGGACGCAATCTACAACCAGGGTCAAGTCTGGCACTCCTGCGGCCTCAGTTTCCCATCTTGCCCTGCTTTTAAGAGGCTAGGCTTTATAAAGAGCCAGTTCCCGCTCTGAGATGCTGTGTGATTGTACTTCATTACAGATGGAGAGGCCAGGGAGGTCCCGGGAGGGGAGGCAATCTGTCTGGGTGAGGATACCCCTTGGGCACCCCCCAGCGTCTGCTCCATTGTCCCTGCCCGGCCTCTATCCAGTTCCTCATGGTGACGCCACCAGATGCAATGGGCTGGAAACGGGGCTGGGGCTGGAGCTCAAACCAGGCCAGCTCTGCCCTGGAGTCACAGCTGCCCTTTGCAGCCCCGGCCAGGCTGGCAAGCAGGACAGGAGTCAGGGCTGCGGGGCAGGGGTGGGGTGAGCCGGCTGAACCAGGCCTGGACTCCATGGTGCTAGGCCCCTTGCAGGTCTCCTACCCCAGGGGAAGCCCTCCTTCCCAGAAGCCTCCCCACAGAGCTCACCTCCCATGGTCTGTGGCTCTCACCCAACCCTTGGCCTCTTCTTCCCAACCCCCACCCCAGCCCTTAGCACAATGGATGAAGAGACTTCAGAGCAGACGAGGCTGTGCCTGTGGCAATCTCCTCCCATGGAGGGGGCCAAATGGAAATCCTGGCCCACCCGGTCTCCCTGGAAAGAACTGCACCTCAGGAGGTGAGACAAACAGGAAGAGGGGTGTGGCCACCGCCAGTGCCCAGAAGTCGGGAAACCGGGCCGCTGAGCTGCTGGTTTACAATCCACCTCCGAAAACGAATTTTCCAGCGCCAAATGCCAAATCATCAGGTGGCTGGGCACAAGCTGTCGGGGGCCTGTCCTCCTCTGCTGACTGCCCAGAGGACACAGTGAATGAAGCTGTGGGGTGGCGCATGGCTGCCCAGCCCCTCCAGCCAGAGGCCCCACCTACAGCCGAGGGAGTGGGGAGGGTGGTGTCCCGGGAGGCCTGTGTGGCCACTGGGATCATGCACTTGTTCTCTGGTCTAGCAGGCCATATTTGGCCCTAGGGAATCCCCCTATAGGCAGAGGGGCCAAGGGGACACCTGGTTTCCCAAGAACAGAAAGTCTGACTATGCTTTCTCTTTGTGGACCAGGAGAGCCTGCTGAGACTGGGGAACTTGGGAGAAAATGCATAAACTATTACCAGCTTGGGGCCTAGGCCCTGGCCAGTGTGTGTGGGGAGTGGGGGTGGGGGAGCTAACAAGATGACACATGACTCCAGCTCCATCCAGCATGTTCTGTAGGGCCCAGGGAGAGAACCTTAACTCCTACCTCGTTATGCCTGATGAGCACAAGAGGTGGACACCCTTCCCCTGTCTCTGGGCTGCTCTGAGGATCGCATGAGATAAACATGCATGAATGCCTAGGTGGGGCCTGGCGCACAGTAGGTACATGTTGCTGCATTGAAAGAACAACTAATGCTTACCCAGCATCAGGTGCCATGTTTGCAGGAATTTAAATTGTTAACTTATTGAATTCTGGCACCAACCCTGTAAGGTATGTTCTATTAGTCCCCAGTTTAGAGATGGGTAAATGGAGGCTCAGGGAGGTTAAGCAACTTGTCCAAGTTCACACAGCTAACAAGAGGCAGATCAAAAGTTTGAACCTGAGAAAAGATTTCACCGTTTGGGCTGTTGTCTCAGACTCCACACCACCTATCATTGATGTAGCTCTGTAACGGTGTGGGTGTCTCCACACCCGGGAATCCTAATAGCACCCTGACAGTGACCAGAACTCCATAGTCCACAGGGCTCTCTCATCAAGGGGCCAGCAAGGCTGGAACTGTCCTCATTTCAAAGCAGAGGAAACTGAAGACCATTCAAATGGTTCGCATGACTTGCCTGAGGCCACCCAGTGAGCGGGCAGCTAATGTGGGAACAGCAAGGCAGATTCCTGAGGCCAGGCCAGGGCTCTCTGACACCTGCTTCCCACTGCCAGGTACAGGGACACGTTCACTGTAGGCAAACTGGCAGCCCCCTAGGGCTGCTTGGGGATTTGATGAGATGACACAGTGACTTGATCACAGCCCAGGGAGCTGAACACTGGCTTCCAGTGGCCTGAGAGCTGGTTGCTGTGCACACCCTGAGATGGCCACTGAGGCTTCCCTGCCAGGCCAGGCAGCTCTGGGAGAGCAGAATGGAGCCAGGAGGGCATCTGGGCAGCAGAGAACCTGCCAGACTCCATGCCCACCACTGACCACCAGCATCTTGTCTCCATCTCAGCCCTGAGGGCTGTGGGACAGAGCTCTGCCTTCAGACTCAGAGGCCCCTGGGTCTGAACCAGCCCCTTGCTGGCCTCAGGCAGCTTGTCGTTGAAAGACAAGGATTGAGCCTCCCTCTGGGGGTGGGTCACAGCCACAGGAGAAGGGGCATGGGGGCCCAGGGGTGCATGTCACGTGCCTACACCCATCTCTAACAGTACCGCCCCCAGCCCCGGGGTGACAGCTGCCTCTGTGCTTTGCAGCACTGCAGGCTGTATTATGACTTTGTTTTATAACTCTAATGCAGACCATTTATAAAGTGGGTACAGACAGGACTGAGGAAAGCAAACATTAGACATCCATTAGTGCAGCAGGCCCTGCGTCTGGCAGCCCTACCGCCCCACTCTTCCCACCCTGCCCCTCCTCTCAGCCCTGGTGCAAAGATTCAGCTCTGGCCTTGGCAGGAACGCAGGCCAAGTGTCCCCTCTGTGCCTCTCTGTTGCAGCAGCACTGGATGGCTCTTGATGTAGCTGTTGCCCTCTTGCTGTGTCCCTATACCCTAGGTGTCCTGGAGGCAGAGACTGCCAGGAGATACGAAAGAATGAAAGGCCCACCTGAGGTTCCTGCCTGGAGGGACCACGAGTGGACTCTGCTGGCCAGCACACAGTGAATGCAACTTGAGTAAGGGAGTAGGCCGGGCGTGGTGGTTCATGCCTGTAATCCCAGCATTTTGGGAGCCTGAGGTGGGTGGACTGCCTGAGCTCAGGAGCTCGAGACCAGCCAGGCCAACGTGGCGGAACCCCATCTCTACTAAAAATACAAAAATTAGCCGGGCATGGTGGTGTGCACCTGTAATCCTAGCTACACGGGAGGCTGAGGTGGGAGAACTGCTTGAACCCGGGACGCAGAGGTTGCAGTGAGTGGATATTGCACCACTGTACTCCAGCCTGGGTGACGGAGTGAGACTCTGTTTCCAAAACGACAACGACAAAAAACAGTAAGGGAGTAAGTGTGGGGCATGCCAGGGCCTGTGCAGAGCCCTCACTTCTCCCTGGCCCTGGCTTGGGCCCCAGTGACTGAGGAAGGCTTGAAAGGTGGGCTAGATGAGAGCAACCCATGGCCAGGCTGCATAGGTGCCAGCTGGGTGGGAGAATAATGGGGTCTTGGGGTTCCTGGATGCTTACCCTGACAGGCGCTGCTCAGAGGGTGGTTCTTATAAACTCAATGAGCTCCACAATAACCCTAGGCAGAGATGCAGAAATGTTTTGATTTTTAGCATATCAGTAATTTTTTTAGGCTATCCCAAGGCCAAAAAGAAGTCCCTAACAGGAATGTATTAGATCGCAACAGCTTTGTAAATATTTATATTCTGAAATCTTAGGATAAATTGAAAGAAAACATATATTTTTATCCCATTCCTAAATAGCCACAAAGAATTATGAATGGGGATGTGTGCACCCGTCGGGCGCTGTACAACTTCTCAAACTTTGGAATCCGAGTGGACACCACTACTCTTATTGTTTGTCGTGGGCTACTCCCAAATGCCACAATCCCAGCTGTGCAAAGATATGGTGCCAAATAAAGGAAAGCAGAGTGATAGGACATTGAAACTGTGAGCTACTTGTTGGTGCAGTGTCTGACAGCTATCTAGCATTACTGTGTTTCCCACATTGAAAATATCCCACGGCTCCCCTGTGAGGGTGCTGAGGAACCCTGGGATAATTTGGCACACAGTTTGGGAACCACAGGCCTATGAGTTGCATATGATTATTATCCCCACAGTGCAGATGAGGAAACTGAGACCAAAAGTGTTTAAGTGACTGGTATAGAGCTATAAAGCTAGTAAGTGGCATCGCTAGGGGGCAAATTCAGGGAATCTGATACCAGAATCTGTCTTCTGAGCTCTGCTGAACTGGAAATGGGCATTTAAGTCTACTATGTGCTACTCCTCACAACTCTTCCCATTTTACAGATGAAAACGTGGGGCAACAAGGGACATGAAGGGTCACCTGGTCGATGGCAGGAAGCAAGGCTTGAGCCCCGTCTCTCAGCCCCGCCTCCCTGGCCTCTCTGCAGGACTTCCTGCCGCTCTGTCTCTACAGAGGAACCGCATCTAAGATAGGCTCCCCTAGAAGTCTTTGCCTCAGCCAGGCCGGGTCTGGGTTTCCTGCTGGCAGGAAAATTCCCACAGAAAGTGTTTTTTCCTAATAGTAGAACTCATTTGGGCCTAAGTTGCAAAAGTGCAGCCTGCCTTTAAAGCTGCATCCAAGAATGGTCCAGATATCCCGCCAAGAAGCTATGAAAGAGGACACATCCCTGCACAGATGTAACAACAAGACAGTCAAATGAAGGACAGGAAAAATCGCTGGAGGCAGAGGCCCTGGGTTTGCATCCCAGCTGGGGACTGGCACTGCTGTGTGTCTGTTCTCTCCCAGGCCCTGGAGTTTCCATCTGTCAAATGAGGAGGTTGGCCAAGTCAGTCTCTTAAGCCCTCCTCTGCTTCTAACACTTGGAGGTTTAAAGATCCCTTAAGGGGAATCTGTTCATGTGTGAAAATGTCCAGTTGAGTAAATGTTTTTCTTCAGAAAGCACATTTGCTTAAGTTAGGGTCCCTTTCCTTGCCTTTGCTA